GCAGCCACAACCTCTGGCCCGGCGCTGTCCTGCGCTTGATCTCATTGATATTGATTTACTTACCCCGTGCACCACAACAGAAGAGAACACGAGCAAGCGCGTGGGCGCTGAAGAGCCGGGCTTATGTTATTCTTATGCTTATTCCTTATTGTACGCCTTGCGCGTGACATACTGCAACTACTGCCCAGGAGAGGACTCGGCCCCGGCGCAGCCTCTGGCCTGGAGCTGCCCTGGGCTTGATCTCTTCGCATTGATTTACGTTTAGCCTATCCGGTGCACCACAAGACAACCCAAGCCCGACCGCAAGCCAAGCGCGTGGGCGCTGAAGAGCCGGGCCTATTGTGGGCCTTGCGTATAATATACTGACCAACATTCGGCTTCGGCGCCGCCTCTGGTCTGCCGCTGCCCTGGGCTTGGTCTCATTGCATTGATTTACCCGGCCCCAGCCCGTGCATCACAACACACGCGGAGAGGAGTGGGGGCAGAGCAGAAAGCAAGACGAGAAGGCCGGACCCCCCCGGCCCAGCCTTGTGGCTCTGCTCTCATCTCTTGTCTTCTCTTGTCTAGTCTTGTCACTTCACTTCGCAAGACAGTCGCGCCGAAGGGCCGGGTCTCAGCGCAACGCAAGCGCGTGGACGCTGAAGAACCAAGCCTATGCCCTTACGTGAGATACTGCCCAAGATTCGGCTTCAGCGCAGCCTCTGGCCTGGCGCTGTCTTGGGCTTGATCTCATTGGGATTGATTTGCACCACAACAAAACACAAGCAAACCAAGCGCGTGGCCGCTGAAGAACCGGGCTTGTTGTAAGCCTTGCACCTACTGCCAAAGGCTCGGCTTCGGCGCGGCCTCTGGCCTGGCGCTGCCCTGGGCTTGGTCTCATTAATTTACAACCCCAAGCGCGTGGGCGCTGAAGAACCGGGCTCATTTTGGGCCTTGTCTTGTGACTGGTGTATACTTGGCAAGACTCGGCTTCAGCACGGCCTCCCTCTGGTCTGGCGCTGCCCTGGGCTTGGTCTTATCTTATTGCCATTGCTTTGATTTACCCGGTCCCATGCCTCATAACACACGCGAAGAGGAGTGGAGGCCGAGCAGAAAGCAAAACGCGAGCGCTGCCCTCTCATTTCATATCTCTCGCGTCTTGTCACATTTGCGCTGCGGCCGGGCTTCAGCTCAGGCTCAGCGTGTCGCAGACGCTGAAGAGCCAAGCTTATGCTATTCTTATCGCAAGCCTTGCGCGTACTCAGTATGCCCAGGATTCGGCTTCGGCGCAGCCTCTGGCTTGGCGCTGCCGCTGTCTTGGGCTTGATCTCATTGGCTTACCCCGTGCACCGCAAGCATTTGGGATCAGGTAGGGGCAGGGGTGTCGTGTGGCATGGGATGGCGATGGCTGTCGCTGTGGTTTGGTAGCCGAGCCTGAGGGCGAGCGGGCGAGGGGGGTCGAGTCGTGGCGTGTTCTGTTACCTCCACGCCCCTCGTCTCGGCTTGCCTAGGATAATCCTAATGGCTTCAGCTCAGGCCAGCGCCAGCCCGAGCCCTGCCCAGGCGGTCCGGGTGGCGGGTCCCGTTCTCTTTTTCTTTGCTTCAGTTCAGCTCAGGTTCGGCGGGGCTCGAAGCCCAGCGCCGCTTCGCTTTCCTCTAGGCTGGTCGGTCTTCTCTTGCCTTGTGTTCGCATCCGCTAGCGA